TTAATAGTCGTTTTAATTATGAAACTGGACAAAGTGAGACCAAGGGCGCTGATATTATTATATGAAGAAGATTGAACAACGTGTGGGTCAACTACTTTAGGCCCAGGTAGATGTAGATCAGGAATCTACGGTGAGATAAAAACTACATTATGTGTTCTTTATATACCACTGTGAAAAGGTAGGTGTGTGTAAGCAATTGCAATATTGGACGCTCTTTTGTCAATGCTCGCACTGACATTCAAGATGACCCTTCTACGACGTCTACGACTGGGGAAAACATTGGCGAAGTGTGTGTTTTTATATTTATCAGAGATTGATTGTGCAAGAAATTGGTCACACTATAAGCATCTCATATAAAAGAACGCAAAACATAGTCAATGACCACTTATTTTCTAAAGTTTCTCGATAGGTCTATAGTAGAGGTATTAGACTCTAAAGAGTACTCTAGTAAGATTGTTTTTAGCCGAGCAAATCTTTATTGTTACTTTTAAAAGATATTTAAGGCTGACCCGCAACCGTTTTGAAACAGATTTGTGATCATGAATGAAAGCTGTAATGAAAAAAACAATTAATTATATACAATATGAGTCTTTATGTTTAGATTATGTATTTGTGCCATTTGCTGTTGAAACTTTAGGTCCGTGGGGTCCCAGCACATCAATTTTTTTTAAAAGTATGTATATTATGTCCTAGGCTTAACACCGCGGCTGGTGACAAGAGAACTGGTTCTTTTCTCACTCAAAGGTTAAGCAAAACTATTCAGCGAGGAAATGCAGCTAGCGTTCCTGGCACCATCCTGCGTGGTTTGTTTATTAGATAATATGTAATTTTAGATAGATTTAATCTTGTAAATATTACATCAATAAAGATTGTAAATTAATTATATTAATCAAAGAGATGAAAAATCTTGTGAATTCAAGTCGGCTGGCGAGGTTATGGCAAAATTTCCATTTCGATATAATTATGATTGCACTTTTACACAAATACACCAAAGAGAGACGCCGCGGATTGCTTAAAAAGGTTTTATTTCATCAGGATCGTGATAGTTTGAATAATTGCACTTTTCGGCTTATTCTTCTGATTTGGTAACTTCGGACTTTCACCTGCTTCCAAACGTAAAAAAAACAAATTGGTGGGCAAAAATTTTCATCTACTGAAAAGGTCGATGCCGGCAGCCGTGGGTCTGTGGTAGATTACTTTTTGGATAACTCGAACATTAATTTTATAAGACGGGCATATAGACGCCTTGACAATCAAGTAGAAGGAATTTGAGCTAGATGGAGATTAGTCCGGTCAAATTAGACTAAAAAATAGGGGTCTAAACTGGATGTCTAACTTAATCAGACTAGATTGTCATTTTTCAATTAATTGTCTTGACGCGAACTATTCAAACCACCATCTTACATATTTTTTCTCTTTTTATTTTTTTATCTTTGACAAAGTCATGTGACCTTGCGAACGGAACATTAAAAACACGTCCATTACGTCCGTAAACGAACAACAGTTGATACGAAACGCGTTATCGATTTTATGAACAACGTTTTCGCGGATTCCTTGGCCGGGGACGCGTCACGCTATTCCGCCTGGTGACGCGGCCGCCGATGGCTTACATAATTACGTGCACACTATGCGGTAAGGCAAACAGGTTATTCCGATTAGCAATAAGGTATCGGAGTTGGTTGTTTGTTCTCATCACGGATGCCTAAGTGCTTTCGAGGATTTGCAAACGCACGTCAGGTCTAGTTTAGTGAACCAGTGGTAGTTTTTTGACTTTCAATAACAGCTTAAAATAAGCATAATATATGGAATAAATAATTTTGACTTTCACTATGACTTTGTATATGCGTAAATATATTACATGGACATGCAACTTCAAACAACCTTGCCGCCTTCTCTAAAAAAACCCCTTTCCCATCATTAATTTACTAAATCGCAGCCATATAAAAGTTCGACTTAATAAATTACCGTACATATCTCGCTAAATTATTCATTACCGTTTTCGTGACATACAGAACAACTACGTTGGACTAGTCGAGTCGAGAACCAAGCGAGTGACTTCATTCAAAGCAATCCGGATTTAAAAGCATGCCACTCTAATTGAGGCGACGATTTCTAAAATTGATTAAAAGTTTTGTGTCTGTTTTTTAGATCACACAGTCATTACGAATGGAGGCTACACTAAGCTAGGCCGGAATGAAAGTAACAATTATTTCATGAAAGGTGTCTAATCGTCGAAAGACCAATGTTATGTAGACCACGAAAGAATGTAGTCGATATTCACTCTAGTCTCAAATTTTAATGTATATTTGAAAGTTGAATTTTGATTTTTGACTCAAAACGCAACTTTCCAGTTCCGATTACCGTACATCATAAGCGGTAGGACTGATGTCCTTATTACCCGTGACTAAAGTGAAACAAGAGCTTTTTTTTTATATGAGAATCTGCAAGTGACGTAATTGTTCTCCTAATGCTAAGTGATAACCGTCACCCATGAACATTCGCAACATCGATAGATTTACAGATGCATTGCCAGTTGCCACACACCTGAAAAAAACGTAAAAGCATAACGGCGGTCTTCTGTGAGCTCGTGGTATTTCCCCGGATGAACCTGCACATGCCACAGAGAGGATTTTTACGTGAACCTCCTACAGGTGCTTAAATAAAGCTACTTTAGGATTTTATCGTGTTTTTAAACTCCTAACGTTTCAAACACTACAGGGTTCTTGGTCACGGGACGGCCTGTGCCAAAATGGTTACAGATTTCAATTAAAACAGACGAATTCCTACTGAACTTATACACTATTTCTCAATCTCTATAAACTTCAAAGCACAATTCGTTCACTCCTTTCATATTTTATACAGCATTACTACAGGTTGCGCCAAAAACACAAATGCTACAAATTACAACAGTTAAAAACATAATGCTTATTAAAACGGACAAAACGGTGTGGCGTAAAATAATTTGGCGGTTGATAATATCATCGCGCGCATTACAAACGTTTATGACTAGGAAATAACAAGTTGCGGACGTACGAATAAAATTGTTGAACTTTCTCCATTTGTTCTGTTGTGGGCGGCGTGCGGCGTTGACGCATGTTATATTAGACAGGAGCGGATTACGCGCATTGAAATATGGAAATTATATGGAATTTGGAAGTCAAATTCAAATATCTTTATTCAATATAGAATTATTACACTTACCTATTGATTGTTAAAATTCTACTACCGGATCGGAAGAGAAAAGCCTTGAAAAAACTTGAAAGAGCCTACAGCGATCGGTCCATTTCCGGGGTGTGTTGTCATTAAATGCAAATTAAATAAGATTAAAAATGGATATACTTAACTATTACAAGGTGTTAACCGTTTTTGGTGCATTCCGTGTTTATTTCTTGTGTGTATGAAAGAGTGTCTAATTCTTCTGGATGATGGCTCTGCTTAGCGTGGTTAACAAAAAAAATGGGTACAGACGCCTCCACTAACTTGATTAGTCCAGTTGGTAATGACAGTTTCATTGCCAACTGTACCAGAGGTTGTTCGGTTCTAAATTATAATAATAAAAATATTTTATGATGAACATAGTGTTTATGATATTGATATGTATTTATCTACAATAAAATAAGTTTATTCATGTTTACAGTTATCCGGTACCACGAGCATTTAAACTTTAAATACTTAGTTTGGGACTAGAGAACGTTATTTTAAAAAAAAATGTTTTTGTGTGCTGAAACATTTATATATATATTTATACATATCTTCCACAGTTATGATTGCAGCTTTGCGCGGGAACGTGATAGGCGCAAGGTCGCCTTTCATCCGCGTGCAGTAACTCATGTCGAATACTTTGCAAGGGGGCCTTCGGGCATTCCGATCTGCTGGGCCCCATCGCTCCGTCCGCGGCGCTGGGCTGCATGATAATGCCCCAACAATAACAAGAGTAACGGTGGCCTTGTTACAGATACGAAATGTCATGAGCGAGCGCTACTGCGCTGTCAAAACGTGTTTCGTAGTAACCGGAACACGCTTAGAGGGGGCGGGGGGGGGGGGGGGGGGCTCTTTCTAATAAACAACGGATATTATTGCCGCGGTCATTGCTCGTAAAGTTCAAATCGTCGAATGCGCCGAGGAAAGCGTTTCCGCTGATACCGGCACCATCCCATAAGAGACTATTTCGATGAAAAAATAATTGATGCTATGATGCATTTATAATTTAATATTTGTTTTATTTATTCTGTTATGAATAAAACAATCAATACAATCTGTTAAGACTCCTACTTTTAATTTCATTGATCTTTACATATTTTCTTGTAACACTTCATATTTGAAAGAATAATTACGTATGTATGTTTTAATAACTAATTTATGTATGAGAATGTATACGCATATTTATCTGTTTTTGTATACATTTAAATACCTATGAATAAAGTACGTTATTAATCACTTGTAGTTTTTAGTTATTCGTTAGTGTTAACTAGTGGAGAATGCCTTGGAATGCCTAAGGAAGGCATAAAGTCCGCCTTTTCTGTTCTAGAACTCTAATTGTAACGCAATAAAGATTAAACAGACATATAAGCATTATAATTTCTACGTGAACACAATCCTGTATGTGGCTCTGTAAAGAGTTTGAAACGTTAGTTTCATTCAAGAAATAACTAAACAAATTTTTGGGTGTGCCAAAATTCTAAGCTATTGGGTTTCCATTGTCACCTTCAAGGCCTAATGTTAAGTGATGACCGCTGACTTATGCTCGCAACTTGAGAAAGGTAGATAGAAGTTGCCGACCTTTGCGTAAGCATAGGCTTTGTTTTTGATAAAGCTAGTAGGCGTGTGCTTGCATAGTCCTTAAGTGCATTGTAACAGCAACTTTTGCTTGCGTAGTCCTGATTGATTAGTGAAAATCTCGGCCTGACGGTAGACCAATGCGAAGACCTTGAGCACAGGCATACAGTAGTATTTTTAAGATTGCGTTATCTTCTTAAATCCCGTTGGTATTGTGGACGTCCATGGGCGGCGGTTGTCACTTACAAGGTGAACTGCCTCTTCTTCTGTCGCCTTATCTCGTAAAAAGGTCTTAACCATGAGCGTTCGTTCATCTCTTTCTCTAAAAAAAGAGTCTCTTTCTAACGCATACCGCGTTCGTCAAACGTTCCGGGTTACGGGCAATGTCGGCCGGCTTATCTGAAGCGTGTCATTAGCGGCGGTGCTTTCCCAGCCGAGCGAACGAGGTACCTGCGCGCCGCTTGCGACATTTGACAGTCCGCCGTTGACGTAACCGTCCAACTTCGCGTACCGCTCTCGGGTCTTCTCCCTATCGATCGGAATCGGCGGATTCAAATCACGCAAGCGATGCCTTAAAGATTATTCGGGTTGCGGTCTTGGCTCAGTATAAACGTTTCCTTTTTACTTCTGAATTTCTTAAAACGTAACGAAAATACGAATTGTGTACTACAAAGCATTCCTCGCGCGTATGTAAATTCATCGATAATGTAACCGTCTGATGAAATTAGTGTTTATCGATATTTACCTGACTTTAGCTGACCTTTTACTATCTGAGAAGTTTATTATTAATAGACACTACTTGCAACCTCACGTCCGAAATAAAAACATAAACGTGACAATGTCTTTCATCTCCACCTTTGGGTGTCATTTGAAGAGTCAAGATCCATACGACAAACGCAAATTAGTTATTATTATTTTTTATACTCGTATCATATCCGTAGATACTATGACACGAAAGAAACTATCGTTACGAAGCCAATGCACGGGATTTGCATGTTATTTAGCTGTTGTTGTTAAGCCAACAACTCAACTGAGGCCTGAGCAGTCAAAACTATCAGACGAGGAATGTTCTAGAAAGGTTTCCGCGCGCGGTGAAATGTCCGCGCGGCGTTTGCTTTCTCGCCAGTCCGTCTCAAGAACGGATCCGTGTCACCGAGGCGGCCCGGGCGCTCCGAAGTCGCAGCCGCAATTGAACAATGGGCCGGCTTCGCCGCGGGCCCGACGAGAAAAATTAATTTAGGCATCGGTGTCGGCCGTCGACCCCAGCGCTTGCGAAACCGATTGCGCGCGCTCGGTTTGTGCAATCGGCGGACACAATGCCCCGACGAATCTGCCAGCCCTCAGAGACGCCCGCATGTGGCGAAACCCGACTCTTCAATAACATTGCCCCCGCCGAGAACAGCTAAACAAGAACCGAACCGCCCTAAACTATCCCGCACGCTGCGATACCGTTCCAGCTTGATATTTCGCTGAACCCTGAGTGTCTCACGCTACAATCCATGAGCATTTGTGTCCAATATTTATTGATTCATCACCAAATTAACACTCATTATCGTTATGTGTGAGCATATATCAAAATTTACTAGCAACTCTTTATTACAAACATGGAACATTACTTAAACTTCAGAGAATGTCACATCGATATTATTGGAGAACACAAAAAGCGCGTCAAACGTCCATAAATCACTCAATTAATCAATTCAAGGAACCCGTTAATATAGTAAAATATGCACAAGCATCGGTATAAATCAACTATAAACTGTGTACAGGGTCATAACATTATCGCGCCGCATAGAAATATTGCCGCTATCAATCGACAATTATAAAGATCGCCGTGCAAAGCATACGCGTAATTGGAAGACGAGATCGCGAGGAACGTAGCCGGGGGCGGTATGAATGAAAGCCGCTCGCTGGCAACGCACCGACAGCTACCGCGTCCACCAAGGAAACGAACGAACGGTGCAATTCTCGACCCACACCGCATACAACGCTCCGTCACCCAATAAGTGAGACACCCACGTCGTTTTGTTCGCAGCAATGGAAACTGAAACGGATTAAGCACTGCTGACGATGGTCGCCGATTGGTGGACATTTAAGGATATCGACGTCCAGCGAACGAGTTTTTCCAGTCCGTATCATCGCAATATCACTTATTATTGAAACCTGCGGCGCGGACGCGACAGGTTACTAAAGCGTTTATCATGAGATATGTTTACCCAGGGAACTGTTTCGTATTGTACCAAAAGGATTCATATAGATCGATTTATTTTGAGTGAAGTAGTTTTACGATTAATTTTCTACTGATTGGATGCCTACCGACACTGACTGACTACTAGGAAAAGTAAAAAAGTAAAGTAACAGCCTATAACTGTCCCATTGCCGGGCAAAGACCTCTGTACAGATGGGATTAGGGTATCTATATATCTAGTATATAGCATAGTCCGCCGACCCCACTGCGGATTGCCGAACGTCACATATCTTCGAAATACTTTTTTTGTTATTATTTCGAAAATATGCAGAATTCCTCACGATATTTTCCTCCACCGATGAGCACGTCATAAGTCAGCAATTAAAATTATCAATTTCTTTGGTGCCGGCACCAGAGGGAACTCAGATTGCTCGAGTATAGAGAATTAACAGTGAACGCCCGGACAATGAGCTATCACGGCTCGATACAGTGCCCTCAAGTATTTCCTGGGGTCGGTTTGTAGATGTACGCCACCTGCAAAACTCTTCAAAATTCACACTATCTACTATCCACGGCATGGACTAGTTAAATTACGATCAAATAAAATGCCGTTCAGGCTCAAAGCCTAGAATACACGCCACCACAAGGATACAAATATTCTACAGGGTTACTTATTATACTACAAATTCTTCCTTATAATCTGACGTATATTTTGTATAATTGTGTATGTTGCCTATGACCTGAGGTCTTAAACAATATATTCCTCTTAAATGCAGTCTAGAGTGTAAAAAACTTCATTGAAGACATCGCTCCGGTTAACACTTCGTAGTAATTAAAAAATTGACATGGGACATTATTTATTTCACATATTTTTGTTGATGCTTCGTTATACTTCAACAAGTCATGTATCAAAGGTGGCGCAGAGAAGATAATACGAATTTAGAAAGCGCACATGCTCGGTTAAATCTCGTTATTCATCCGTGGGGCATTCTACTTACGGTAAGCGTCGCGTTGTGGGCAGCGAAATTTGGTCACAAGGCATACGCGGCCAACCAGTTCGCGCGCTGAAAGGACGAGCAGAGCCGACAAATGACAAGACAAATTGGCGACGGAAAAACGCGTCGTGTTCGGTCCCGCATAAAAAAAGCACCGCTTTTTTGGCGAGGCTTTTTATGTAAGAATATGGCAAGCAAGCTGGCGATTCACCTGATATTAAGTGATATAGCCCATAGACATTTCTTTCACCCATAGATCAAGCCAGCTTTTGAATGGGCCTCAGTTACTTCGCTCACCAGACGAAACTCAGTAGTTTAACACTTACACATGACGGCAGTCTTCAGTGAGATGGTGGAACTTCCCCGGAGACACCTGCCCATTCGACATAACAAGACACAACAGCGAATTAATACGTGGCTCTACCATAGTTTTAAGGTGCAATTTGCGCTACCGAGATTGTTGAGCTGCTTGATTTCATATTTATATTTTCAGAATGTGAATATAAAGCTCAAGCAGCTCAACTCGTTTTCGCCAAATTGACTTTTGCAATTAGAAATCGGATTTTGCATTCGCTATCTGCTAATATCTTCTTGATTACTTAAGATTGTAAACTCATAAATATTTCACAGCGGTCGAACTATTTGAAGCTGAAAAGATCTCGTAGCAACGCACTCTCATTGAGATCGTAACTGATAAAGAATATGAATATGTAAACAAACACAAAGAATAAAAAAAGAACTTCAATTACGTAAATAACATAGAGGAGCGCCGTAACGAATTATCTAAAAGATACAATTTAACAAGTTGTAAAAAACGCTAGATAAGATACAACGCGGAGACATTTTATGCAAATGTTCACAATAAAAATTCCATATCATTGATAAGCCGGTTGATTTATAGTTTGCACAATCATGAGGCCAGACGCCGTGGCGCAGTGGCCCATATTTAAATCCGTGTTAGATGCAAGTTACCTGACACAACCACGCGCCAGCGCCTGCTGTTCTGAATGGATGATAACTCCGTGGCGCAGTTGCCAAGATATTGGCTTCAGCGCCAGGGGTCGCGGGTTCGATCCCCACACGGGACAACTGTTTGTGTGACCCATAGATAATTGTTTCGGATCTGGGTGTTTGTACGCGTGTAATTTATGTATGTAAGACGTCCTTACAGCGCAGGATAATGTTATCCTACAGTAACGGAAATGTTAAAAAAAAGAAAAGAAAAAAAGATGAACGTCCACCGCCTCATAGGAAACTAGCATAAATTAGAATTCTTTATACTTTTCTTCTAAGTCGCCATAGTCCAGTGTTTGGACTATATACAGCGTGTCTTTAGAGATATAGATGATAACTTTTTAAAATTGTATTAAAAATTTACATTCTTTAAACATCAATATTTACCGAGTTATTAAATTTTCCAAAACAAACAATTTTAGAACAGCCTTAAGTATAAAACTGTAACGTAAAGTTCATTGGTAAAGGTCACAAAGCACATGAATGGGTTGAATGAATTTAAAAGAGACAAAACATACTGTCTAACAGGAGAGGCTTGTAATGCGACGCTGTGGCAACGAATGAAAAAGTCTCTGAATGTATGAATCAGTCAGTTGTAGTTGTATAGGATGTTACAAATTTTGTTTCTTTTTTACTTCATTAGTAATATTTTTTTTAATCATGTATATCTTTTAACGTTAATATTTTTTAGGATTATTGACAAGTAGCGTTAGACGTGTGTTCATATATTGTCGCCGTTGTAACGACACGCTGTATATCAATTCAATAAACTCGAGCATCTTGAGATCCCGGTGCCGGTACCAATGAAATTGTTAATTGCAATTTTAAGTGATTATTAGTCTTATCACGTGCCCAGTCGCAAGGGAAAGATTGCGTTGAAACCTGCATATTTACGTAATCATGATTAAAAAAGCAGCCTAGTTACGAATATTTCCGTATCAGTATCAATAAAGCAAAAAAATCATGTCGGTTGTATGGGAGCCCTACTTAAATATTTTTTATTCTGTATTTTAGTATTTGTTGTTATAGAGACAACAGAAATACATCACCTGTGAAAATTTGAACTGTCTTACTATCACGGTTAGACAGTTCAAGCCTGGTGCCAGAGGGACAGACAGACAGCGGAGTCTTAGTAATAGGATCCCCTTTTACCCTTTGGGTACGGAACCCTAAAAATATATTTCGAAGATGTGAAGTCGACCAATCCGAAGTGGGGTCGCGTGTTGGACAGTTACTCTAACACCCTATGTACAGAGAACCTTTGCCCAGCCGTGGGACATATTTAGGTAGGTAACCGGAGCTCGTCCTCTTAAAGGTCGACCCCACGGGTGTGTCATTGGGTGTTGGTAATCACCTAGTATCTGAAGCGCAATCTTGTTCGTTACCTATATGTAAATACGTAACGATGCTCTCCGAGCCGTCCCCTATTTCTATCTGCGACTTCAGGCTGTTGCAGAATGACGACTTACTGGGCTATTTAACACCTACTCGCTAACCCTAATGCCCCCGCATTCGTTCGTCGGGCGAAAGGACAGCGGTGTCGTCGACACGGGACTTGATTGGGTTTAAACATGCGCGCGCAAATGTTTCCGGCTGTGATGGATGCCACCACTCTAAAAATAATTTCCCATAATAATTATATTCAGAAAATAATTCCCCGATAGGAAAGGATGCGAAACACCTCCCTTCTTACAAAGTTGGGAATTTTGTTCAATAGAGAGCAGGTCTGTTTGTATAAGGTTGGAACCAGAACAAGGAAATCAGGACCGGCACTATTCATTTATGAACTATGAACAACGACTTACATTCCTGTTTATTATATAAAAATCCTTTTACCTTTACCTAAGGTTAATAATAAATCATTGTTAAAGAAAATAATTACTAATACAAATATAATGGAACGTGTATAAATAGACGTACAGCGTATGATTATATCACAATAACTCAAGGCTGCGACGAAAATTATCAGAGAGCACAGATATAAACGCGTGTCTGCTTCTGAAAATAAAATCATTATATTTCGAAGCGAGGCCCACACGACGCGTAGCGCTCGTACGCGAAGTGACGTCACGACCCTACAACACGGCTACGACGGCTACGAAACGTCACACGCCCACGACTGCTTGAGTACCCCTAATATTAACCTACCAAATGTCAAATACAAATAAGAAATAGTTGGAAATCGAATACTTTGGAGAGTATACATTACAACTAACGATACAAAACTCAAGCTTGTTGTATGTAATAGACAGATTAGTCAAACCTAGGTCACG